AGGAAGACCGCCCACACAGGTGAATAACGATGAATTAAGAGAGATAGTGGAAGCCGATCCTAGTCAAACTACCCAGGAATTAGCGGCATGGTTTAACGTTACCTTACCCACAATATTGACTCACTTGCGTCAAATCAATAAAATAAAAAAATACGAAAAATGGGTGCCTCATGATTTGACTGATCTGCAGAAAGAAACGCGTGTTGAAACTTGTGTTGCCTTGTTGAACCGGTACAGAAATGAAGGAATATTGGATCGAATTGTAACATGTGATGAAAAGTGGATTCTTTATGATAACCGGAAAAGAAAAATGCAATGGCTGACCCCAGGTCAAATGCCACAACAGTGTCCTAAAGCAAAACTTACCAATAAAAAGGTAATGGTAACTGTTTGGTGGTCTCAGCATGGTGTTATTCACTATAGTTTTCTCCGATCTGGTCAAGCAATAACGGCAGATGTCTATTGTGCCGAACTCCGAACCATGTTGACAAAACTAGCAGTAAAACAGCCCCGACTCATGAATCGATCTTCACCATTATTGCTCCACGACAACACGAGACCTCACACACCACGAGAAACCATTTTGACCCTTCAGGAACTGCAGTTATAAACCATTCGTCATCCTCCGTATTCACCAGACCTTGCTCCAACGGACTACCATTTTTTTCGTGATTTGGACAATTATCTACGTGACAAGAAGTTTTCTTCCCAGGAGGCAGTACAAAATGCTTTCACACAGTTTGTGCAGTCTAGATCGTCGGAGTTCTATCGCAAAGGCATTAATAACCTTCCCATTAGATGGCAGCAATGTATATATAATAATGGCAACTATTTTGATTAAATAAATTTGTTAAAAATTTAAAAAATAAACAATTTAGATTTTCAGTACAAATCGGCAATTTCATACTTTAACCCCTATTATTAACCTTAGAGCTAAGTCCAAACTCATGGTACCACGATTTCGTTTAACCAAGCTAAACGACTCTTTTATGGGGAACCATATACGTTTTTACAATAATATTCCGGAGCATATATTAAGTTTATCATTTCCTAAGTTTAAAAACTACATTAAAAATATTTTGATCGAAAAATCATATTACAAAATTGAAGACTACGTGTTAGATAAAGATGTATGGAAAGACGACATGGCTCCAGAATCCACACAAATTTGATTCAAAATGTACTCCATAGCATTTAAGTTTATTTGAAAAGAGCAATCCCTAGAGTTTCCTGCTCGTTCTTCTCAAGGAGATCAGCGTAGTGAACGAGCAGTAGCTTAAATGTGACGATTTCAAGTGTAAATTTATTTTACCTATGGAATAAATAATCTTTCACTTTGACTTTGACTTTGACTTCCGTTTTTGAAGGGTAAAGGTGGTGGTGAAATTACAGGCACATGGGACTGTCAACTTGTCTTGAAGTGACGGGTACAGTAGCCCTTTGGTCTCTTTGATTTAAAACACTGAATGATACGGTAACTTTTATGGACAGGAGTGGAGCTTACCATCAGACGCACAAATTGTTCGTCCAGTCACTAGATATTATAAAAAAACCTATCCACAGAAAACTAAGATTCAAAAGATTTAAAAATTTGTAGACTTAGTAAATACCAGGCAAAGATACATTAAAACAGTGTACTGGTTCCACCTTTAACCTCTCACACAATGTCAACATCTGACTTCACCGGTCGCCCTTGGATCTAACACGAGCATTATATTATATATAACTTAAAGGGCAACTCAGGTGCCCCGCGCGTTTGTTTTAATATAATGTAAAATAAGTAAAAATAGAAACTGTTTCATCGTTTTCGCGACGATGATTAGACGATAAAGATAGCTAATCTTCGAAAACGATGAAACAAAAAATGTCAGGTATACGTAATTTCATATCGTTGTCCTTGTTCTTCAAATTGTATAACAATAGTTCATTACCAAATAAGCAAACTTAGCTTTATCAATTGAAATAATTGTCACCGAGAGGTTTTTTACACATATACTGCCATGCTACGCCCACAGGACTAATTCGGAAACGTTAATTACTCAAATTGGTTTGAACCTATGGTTTCAACCCGGGACCACCATTTAGCGCCCAAAATGTTAATAACCGGTGAGTTGCCGAGGTTGTCAAAACTAGGTCGTTGGCGGTCATCGGAGATTTTATCGAGACGAACTGACGTTTCTTACTTTTGTTTCTTAAGTGGAAATTATTATTGTTAATAAATATTATATTTCTCATTTAACTTTCTCAAATTTAGATACGGTTTCATCTTAGGAGTATAGTTTTTTGTTACTCTCTTTTGTATTTAACTAAGTAAGCAATAACTTTCGCTAACGGTGATTAAAACATCGTGATGGAACCTGTACCTCGAAGAAGGTTCATAATCCTGAAAAATTTGTGTTGACCCTAATCTTAATTACTCATTACTAACAGTAACACCTTTTATATAACCTATTATTTGTATTTTATGGAAAAATACATTTCGTCCCCTAGCCCAATCCCCCGGGGGATCTTTGTGCACTCGGCATTTGATCAGAATCCCCCGAACGCGGATACGTAACGTTAAGTCACATTCACACAATGGTGTTAAGACCCTACGTTGTGGCCGTAGTAACCCAGGTTCGAATCCTGGTCACGGCAATGCGAAGTGCATTGTCACGGTGAGGCGCTTCTTTTTTCTTTCTTTTTTCTTTTTTATTTTCAAAGCATTGATCATAATTATGTATTCTGATTAAAATATATAATATACCTTAAAACAACATAAGCTTACAAAAAAAACAATATACCCTTATTTTATATTTCTTATAGTGAAATAATAAAGGTGAAATACAGGTGGAAAAAAAGCCGGAAAACAAATGAAATTGCAGCGAACTGTGACTAGTTGTAATACTGACTAAGCCGCGTTAAATTTATACTATCATTTACCTAACTACATCTAAAAACTGTCCTATAGTTGTATCATTATTCAATAATTTCAGCTGTACTTCTTGGATGAATTTATCATTTTGCAATTTCATTTTTACGGAAAGGCAAAGCCCTTATATAAAGTCCTTATACAGCCATTAATTTCTACACTAATGGCATTTTATTGATGCCATTGTATTTCTAGCCTAAGTCAAAGAAAGTTACCTATGAAAAGGACAAGAAAACCTGTTTACCCGATCGGTACAATAAGTAATTGTTTATTGTCGCAATGCACTATGCACTATGGCCCTTCTCCTTGGAGGAAGTCCGTGCCCAGCAGTGAGACGTATTATGGTGTTAATGTAACTAAAAAATTCGTAATTTATAACAAAATACTTGTTTTCTTAAACAGATCGGTGCTCTCTTCGCGAGCAAAAGCCACGGTCATCATCAGGAATGGTCTCCATCTCCTCATCAGAAGGAAATCCACCTTCATATACATAATCAGCACGGACATGAGAATCATGAAGAACACGTACCCATTAGTGAGTCATTGCTAAGTTTCTGAACTAATTAACACATTTTATTTATTTACAAATAAATTATGCGACTTACAACACCGTTTAGCGCCATCTATTATCCGCGCCTCGTACTAATTGGCAGTCGTGCCATCTACTGACGAGTAGATGCAACTACGTTGTCGTAGTACTTCTACTCGCCACAAAGCAGCTCTGTTAATTTTAGTAGTAACATTTCTGTATCATAGATGGCGTTAATATCAGATTTATTATCAGAAAACTTGAAAAGCTAAACGATATTAATTTACTGTTTTTCTCCAGCATCATGGAACAGAGAAGGTTATGCAGCACAAGCCCTAAACTACATCTACAATCCGTACAAAGCTCAAGCTGGTCCTCAAACTATAAGCACGCCATTTGGGAATTATGTAAAAATTGATGCTACTTAGCAAATTACAATATTTGTATTTCACAAGTATGTCTTTGCACAGGCAGGAGCACATCAAACTTAATATATTTGACTTTGGAGCGCTCTACAAGCGGTATACAGTTGAATTTAGATCTTTAGGTGTCTAGCTTCTAGCTTGATGGAGTTTTGACCTTTTACTGTTAAACTAATAATAGTTAGCATGCTGTATTTATGTCCAAAGTATACTGAAAGATTCAATATGTTAAATATGATGATAGAGGGCGTAGTAAAATGGAACGCATATAATGAACAAAATAAATAGAAACTATTGGTTGTCCATTTTCAGTACATTTTGTATGGGGAACCAATTTTTATTTACCAATATTATATAATGAGAGATAAAGACTCCGTGAACTTGTTATATTCGTTACACTCTTGTGCACGGAGTTTGCAAAGAAACTATTATAGTATACTTCTATAATTAATTATATTATTCGTGTTTATTATTATGTAATTACTAATTAGTTTATTTAATTAAAAGAAACGTTACCATTAAAAATCGAGGCAATTTGAAATGTACAACAAACCTTTCAAGTCATCTCTAAGATTTTTAAAATAGGGGGTTTTAGTGTCAAAATAAAAAATTTTTGTTTGTTATATTTTAAGTTATATAATATTTTTAGTAAATCTTATTGTTAAAATGCATTATTTATATTAATTGTGCATAAAATAACTTAAAAAAAATCACAGTAGAAACACCAGGCAATATATTACTACATTTGGAATATCAAAACGCAACACAAATACTTCTTTTATTTTTTTTGTTATAGAGAGCATTAGCCAACAGCTTAAAAAGATAACAAATAAGGAAACTCAAAACGTATTAAACTACTAAAAATTAATATGTAAAAACTGTGACCACAAAAACCCGCCTTTTTTGACACAGAAACTGCTTCAGTGTGCTTTTATGGGACAATCTGTGCTTTAGCTGCTGTCAAATGTGATTGTGATTGTAATTTTTGACGATATTCAAAAATTTGTTTCTTGAATGTCTTTGTTTTCCTATAATTGAAAGTCTGTGTGGGGCTCCTTTAGACGAACTCTATCACCAAAAATTATATCAATTTTCAATTCTACCTCACCTATTGTAAATTGAGTCCCAAGAAAGTTTATCGATCGACATCATAGATATAGGAATAAAGGGATCGACATGCGCTGTCTTTTTTCGCAATGTCACCCTCTGTAACATTTTCACCTTATCCCAGGAATCGGTGCCGGCGGTGAATTACAAATTGATATAATTTATGTAAAAGATATTTTGTTCATTTCAACACTCTTCTCCTTCTTCCAGTACCTCTCCATTACTGAAGGTAGGCAGTCAGTTTTCTAAACTTTTCTTTGTCCAGAGTTAGCCTGAACAATTGTTCCTCGGTCTTGGCCACTCCCTGATGTTAGGAAGCCATGACATTTTCCTTCTTCCAACCTTCCGCTTCCCAGCTACTTAGCCCATCATTATGGTATCATCAAATGGTATCTATCATGTGTAGTGTATAACCCAAATAAGCAGTGACCTAGTCCGTCCAACGGTGCGGTCCATTCTACGATAGCACCACATCTCGAATACTTCAAGTTTCTTCCTGAGGTCTTCAATTATGGTCCATGATTCGCATCTATAAAGAACGACTGGCCAGATGTAGCACTGCACGAGCTTAGTTGCGGAATTTAATAGATATCTGCCGGCTGCTTAAAACTCTCCTCATTGTTTCAAAGGATGCCCGAGCACATAGATGTCGGTATGACTTTTCCGGGAGTCAGCCACGGTCCAGACATTTATATTTTTGGAATCTTTCCAGACTAGTAGTTGCGACCAGTATGCTCGACTGAGGTTTGGGTCCACAGGTGACAGCCACGTACTTAGTCTTGGATACATTCAAGTTAACGCTCCGCTGCATACGCAGTCCGCAGAATACGTGAGCTTACCGATGTCAGTACTGCTAGACCAGTTTACTTTAGTTACTTCCATGGTATAATATCCTGAAAGCTATTAGGACAGTACCGTAGTTTGTTAACCATCTCACCCCACCGTATTATAACATATAACACTATAGTCCACTTGATTACATAAAGAACTTAATTATGGAAAAATACAATCTACTATCGCTTCAAATTTGATGCCACAGTCATAAATATAATATTAAATACAAGGAAAAAAAAACTAGCTGTTCTTGCCTGTATGGAAACCACAAAGCAATGGCTAATGTATGTAGGCTTCTTTAATAAGATTCCGGTTGATATTTAAAATTTGCCATGGACGAGGTTTAAAACTATGGTTATACAAGCTACAAAATTTACCTCCATTTAGCTCTTTCAGGTTATCTCTATCTTCGAAATAAATGTCTACAAATGTATATTTACGAAGAAAAACTCGTCGAGTATGTAACCAGAAACAGAGATGAGATGCCATCGATCCCTGACAACTAATCAGGCAAATGGGCCTTGTATCACTTTTAAATATCAACTCTCGTTTGCACTGAAATCACAAATTAGAAAGCTGAAATAGTACAGCGCCAACAACTGACCTGTGTGTACGTCTCCGTATATTCCAAAACATATTCTGTATTTATTGTAATAAAGATAATATCTCTAACAATAGGGGGATATTCCATTCAGTGGTGTGGGAAAAATAGCAAAACGTCTAATTACAAAACAAACGGCATAATTTTTAAATCAGATATGATTTTTTTAATCTGGCCAATCGAAGCGCAGTTGTCACCGTAAAGATTTGGCGGAATAATTTTCAAAAATTAAATGACATTTCGTCTTTATTTCGATGCAACAACCACTAGAGTTTCTCGCTCATTCTTCTCAAGAGAATCTGCCTTACGAATCAGCAGAAGAGTTTAATCCGTATGATGATATTTAATCAGTAGTATGTATGATTAACAATGAAATAAAGATTGTATGCTTTTTACTGTGTAAATGTAACTACAAAAATGACCTTTTATGTATCAAATGTACATAGTTACGTATTTTATATTTAAAAAAATGTTTATATTTAATATTTATTCCATAATGATTACTTTTGTAGCATATTTGTACATACTTATTGTAATAGTTAAAATTATAACAATGAATAAAAATAACTTATTGTATATCACCTATTTTTTAATCATCCCGTTTATTTAACTATTTCTATGTTTTCCTGCACCGAAAACCTCATAGTAAATTCGCACATAATGTCTGAGAAACTTGAGGTGCGATTCTGGATTCTGGATGGATGGCCAAACAAACGGCTACCACGGCTTTTTTTCCTTAAACATCACCCAGAATAAATAATTATTGCTATAATTTTATAACTTCACATTTAATTAGGTTACCTTGAATTTTTTGGTGATGTATATACCCGTGGCGACACAGGGTCGTATTCTAGAGCTCTACTCAATGCTCAAGTCAGGATTGCACTGGAAATACGAACCTAACGGCAGGGACTCGAGTATGATTTTCAGTGCTCACTGCAATACTCAAGTCCTGACTTGAGTATTGAGTAGAGTTCTGGAATACGACCTTTAGCATCTTGTGTAATGAACGTATACATATGCATATAATTTTTAACCCACTTCGATGCGACGTTTGCACTCCGCCTCCGCGCGCTCTTGCCAGTTTTATTTGTCAAATAAAGAAATCGTATTTTCTTCTCGCTCATTTTATTGTGTTAGAAACATTAATTATTATTCAATCGTTGTTATGAAGCGTAGTATTGTTTAAAATGGAACAGTATAATGTGAGATTATATTTTTATTTAAAATACATATATTGAACGCCCACTGCAATCTTCCACGAACCGCCTCTGCAAACAAACTACAGTTAACCAACAATGACCTGTTAAAGATGTCGTGACAGAACTCAGTCCTTCTCACTAATAATTTATCTAAATGTCTCTGTCAGATAAAAACGTTAATGAATAAATATGACTTTGGAATAGAACCGTCAAGGTTGAACTGACTTATGCCTTACCGTGTCAAGGGTAGCGACATTTGACAGTAACCTTATGACGTCATTCATTACTTCTAACAGCGATCCAAACACGCGTTTGTGGAATGCACGATGCAAACGCGCGACTGCATCGATAAAGTCGCCTAAGATAAATAATTGTGTACGAAAAATCTGTACAGGTCAGGGCTCGGCAATATGCGGCTCGCGAGGTTTTATTCCATGCGCAAATATTAAAATCAAGTAAAGTAAACTAACAAATGAAAATCTAGAGTCGTGTTTGAAACTTAAAACAACTAGTTATGAGTCAAATTTATCCAATCTTTCAAAATGCATGCAAAGCCAATACGATTTACTATGTGATTTACTACTCAATTCTGAGTTATATTATTTAATTATTTTAATTTTCTAGTTAAATACTTCAATTTGTTGTGAAAAAAATACTATGTATGAATAAATATATATTATTTCTTATTTTCAAGCTTTTTTTTTATTTTAAATCAAAATCAAATACCTTTATGTAAGTAAGTAGTATTATATTGGCAAGAAAAATTTTAGTGGTTGTTTAAAAACCAATATATTGTATATAATTTTTTGCTCTTACAACTCAAAATGTTGCCGACCCCTGGTACAGGTTTATGCACAATATTTTGTTTTGTTAATTTAAAAATGAAACGAATAAATGCATTAATTAAATAAATTAGTTAATTAACTTAAAGAGTGTCAGTAAGTGAGAATAAGGGTCGCTGTGTGTAATCTCTCTTAGTTAAATAACTAGCGGTTGTTATTAGATTTTCAAAGAGGTTCTGTCTTTGATTTGACAGTTTTGGTTTCTGTTTATATAAACCGCAAGTATGTAAAAGAGAGCAGCTATACTCCTAAAACTTCGCTTATTTGGAAGTCAAATTTACATAGCTATTTAGTGGTATTTATATAATCTCGCAATTTGACACATTTCTATTTTTTTTATAACATCAAGTGACGGGACGATCAAGTCGTGCGTCTGATGGTAAGCTACACGCCTGTCTATAACAGTTACAGTGCCACTCAGTTTTAAATTGCAAAGATCTGACGGACACTGTCGATCTAAATCAGTCAAAGACTTAGGCACATGGTTCGACACTGAGCTCACTTTCCGAGAACATTTCACAAAAATTTGTAAATCTTCCCGCAAGTGTCTCGGTTTCGTCTTAAGACAATCAAAGTCGTTAAAAACCAACCTCACGTCGTGTCTTTTGTATAACTCTTTTGTTCGAACCAAATTGGAATGTAACGC